GAGTTTAGCTTCAACCCTAATTAAACACACCTGAACCAGCTAATCAAGCTCTTACTAGGCATAGAAACTTCCAGTCAGGTGTGTTGAGGCAAGTTGGAGCTAAACTCTGCAGGACACCGGCCCTCCAGGACCGAGTTTGGACAGCCCTGCTCTACACAATAATCTAGAAACAATGTGAATGAACACCACAACAGCTTAAGCAGCAAACTTTGCAAAACAAAATTTATGTCACTGCCAAAACTTTTGGCCATGACTGTATAATAGCCTATAGGTAATGGCATAATTTCATGTTTACATTGGGCACTCCCCACCAGGTACAATATTTTGATTGTTGCATCTTGTTTTTAAGCCCATAAATAATAATGTACTCGTCCTAATAAGATTAAGATTGTAGCCTATATATTATGCTCAATTCATTATTTTTTAGAAACCGCGCACTTTTCTACTCCGTTCTAAACGCTGTTCTTGTATTCAAATTAAGCGCGCTCCACTAAAGCGCATGTGCCGCGATATAGGGCCAGCTGTATCGATACTCGTATCGTCAAATCTCTGTGACGTTACATCGTCGTATCGATGTATCGAACACAGCACTAGTGAATGTGTTTATGTGTCTGTCAGGAAAGTATAGTTTGTTTTACTATGTATTTTAATTTTGTGTGGCATAAAAATGAATCAAGACATTAATTCAGTTGTGTATATTATCTTTTTGTAAAGCACTTCCTGTAAAATGAGTCTTTATGAGAAGAGAGCGGAGGATGTTCACACACATAAAGCAGCATCTCCTGAACCCAGCTGTGTGTCTGTGAAGAGTGACATGTCTATGCCTACTCCTCCTGTATTCAGTGATGGAGCAGTGACCTCTGACCCTGAGTGAGTATAAGGATTTTAACTCAATTTTCTGCATTATGTGCGTTTTCCATATTATCTGTCCTTCATGTCTGCAGTGCGTCATTCAACTAGTGTGTAGAAAATTGTTTCAGTCATAGAAACAAACCTTGAATAACTACTTTTGTGCTGTCAGGAAATCAGTGGTCAGTATAAAATGTACAAATCTAATAATCATGAGCACAGCTGCAAACATGTTTTATTATTTTAATAATTCTTTGTATTGTTTATGCTTTTTCACTATTTTTCTCTTCATTTGACTGTTCCTGCAGAGTAAAGAGAGATGATGTGAGCAGATTAGTGACCCCACCTCTGATCTGCGCTAACTCAAACTGTCAGACCCTCATCATAGAGAGAGTCAAAGACCAACACAAAAGCAGCTTGAAGAGCAAGTATGAGAGATTATTCGAGGGAATTGAGCTAGAAGAGAATCAAACCCTCCTGAACAGGATCTACACACAGCTCTACATCATAGAGGGAGAGAGTGAAGGGGTGAATGAAGAACATGAGGTTTTACAGATGGAGAAAACAGCCAGAACACAAGACACTGCAATCTACTGCAATGACATCTTTAAACCCTTACATGAACCAGGATGTGTAGAGAAAGATAACATCAAGACTGTTCTTACTAAAGGCATCGCTGGAATTGGAAAGACAGTTTCTGTACAGAAGTTCATTCTGGACTGGACCGAGGGAAAAGCCAATCAGATTGTAGATTTCATGTTTGTGCTTCCATTTCGAGAGCTGAACTTGATTAAAGATCACCAGTACAGTCTTCACAGACTTCTGCTGGACTTTCATCCTGAACTTCAAGATCTGGACTCTGAGATTTATGAGGAGTGTAAAGTTGTGTTCATCTTTGATGGTCTGGATGAAAGCAGAATTACACTGATGTTTTCAGACGATCAGAAGGTTTGTGATGTGAATGAGTCTTCATCAGTGGGTGTGTTGATGTCAAACCTCATCAGAGGAGAGCTGCTTCCCTCTGCTCTCATATGGATCACCTCCAGACCAGCAGCAGCCATTCAGATCCCCTCCAAATACATCCACCGTCTGACAGAAATTCAGGGATTCACTGAGCCTCAGAAGGAGGAATATTTCAGGAAGAGAATCAGTGATGAGCATCAAGCCAGCAGAATCATCTCACACATTAGAAGATCAAGAAGCCTAAACATCATGTGTCAAATACCCGTCTTCTGCTGGATCACAGCCACTGTGCTTCAAAACCTCCTGAAACAAGATGACAGTGCAGAAATCCCTCAAACTCTGACTGAAATGTACATCCACTTCCTGCTGACTCAGATCAACATGAAGAGTCAGAAGTATGATGAGAGAGATCCAGAGAAACTCCTGCTGTCCAACAGAAGAGTGATTACAAGACTTGCTGAACTGGCTTTCAATCAGCTGATGAAGGGCAATGTGATGTTCTATGAGAAGGACCTGATTGAGAGCGGCATAGACCTCACTGACGCCTCAGTGTATTCTGGGATTTGCACTGAGATCTTTAAGGAAGAATCTGTGATTCAGCACAATGTGATGTTCTATGAGGAGGACCTGATTGAGAGCGGCATAGATGTCACTGACGCCTCAGTGTATTCTGGGATTTGCACTGAGATCTTTAAGGAGGAATCTGTGATTCATCAGAGGAAAGTCTACTGCTTCATCCATCTGAGCTTTCAGGAGTTTCTAGCAGCGCTCTTTGTGTTTTACTGCCATGTAGTCAAAAATGAGGAATCACTGAAGTTGTTTCTGAATGAAGGATATAAGAGTTACAGTCGGGAAAACTCACTGTATGAGCTATTAAAAGCAACGATTAATAAATCCTTACAGAGTGAAAATGGACAGCTGGATCTTTTCCTGCGGTTCCTGCTGGGCGTCTCACTGGAGTCCAATCAGAGACTCTTACAGGATCTACTGACACACACAGTGAACAGCTCAAAGACCACTGAGAGAATCACACAGTACATTAAATGCACAATCAAAGGTGATGAACATCTCACAGCTGACAGATGCATCAATCTGTTCCTCTGTCTGCTGGAAATGAAGGATCAGACTCTGTACAGAGAGATTCAGGAGTTTGTGAAATCAGAGAATGTCTCCGTGAACAAACTCTCTCCGTCTCACTGCTCAACAATAGCCTACATGCTGCAGATATCAGAGGAGGTGCTGGATGAGTTTGATCTGAAGAAATACAACACATCAGATGAGGGTAGAAGGAGACTGATACCAGCTGTGGTGAACTGCAGAAAAGCTCTGTGAGTATCAATTCATGTTATTAAAGATGAAACTGAATGTATGTCTTGTTCATTTTCTAAAGTGTTTTTGAAAAATTACATAGTACCTTTAAATCATGACATTGATTTCATTGCCATGACAATAAATTTAAAGGGAAATCAAAAGTAGTTTGAACAGGAAAAAAACTGTTTTAATGTCAGAAGTGTTTAGTCCCTCGGCTCCTGACTCACTCCAAACAACATGTATAACCTGTCATACTCAGAAACAAGTCATGAGCGATGTGCAGAGTTTAGTAACAATTTAGTGCAATCATTTATTACCTACATTTTTTTTGTGCTTATGTTACACTATATTCAGTTTAAACTGTATTCGATTTAAAGAAAGTAAACATTTATAAACTTCTCTATAAATTCAGTTTGTACTGTATTCAATTTAAAAAGAATAGTCATATAAACATCTCTGTACATATGTCAGTTAAGCTATTTTTGCGAATTATTAAGATATTATTTAACATTTCATGACCATTTTCACTCTCTATCTGGCTCTTACAATTAAACAGGTTGTTTTTTAGGATCAATATGTGATCAGTGCTCAGAAAACAATATTTTAACCCACCATGTTCTCTTTATTATATCATATTTCATCCTGTTATAGACTTGATGGCTGTAATATCTCACTGATCAGTGCTGTGAGTAAACATTTATAAACTTCTCTATAAATTCAGTTTGTACTGTATTCAATTTAAAAAGAATAGTCATATAAACATCTCTGTAAATATGTCAGTTAAGCTATTTTTGCGAATTATTAAGATATTATTTAACATTTTCACCCTCTATCTGGCTCTTACAATTAAACAGGTTGTTTTTTAGGATCAATATGTGATCAGTGCTCAGAAAACAATATTTTAACCCACCATGTTCTCTTTATTATATCATATTTCATCCTGTTATAGACTTGATGGCTGTAATCTCACTGATCAGTGCTGTGAAAGTTTGTCTTCATCTCTACAATCATTCAACTCCTCACTGAGCGAGCTGGACCTGAGTAACAATGACCTGCAGGATTCAGGAGTGAAGCTTCTGTCTGATGGACTGAAGAGTTCACACTGTCGACTCAACATACTGAGGTAAGAAAATCAGATTTAAAGGTTCACTTGGTTATGAAATGAAAGACTCCTGTTCAACATTGCCATTAATGAATTAGCAGTGCAGTTGGAACAGTCTACAGCCCCTGGACTCACTCAACAAGACAAAAACAGTAGGGTGTTAGGCATTACATTTTAACATGAGGTCTTAAATTTGATGGGAAAATAAAGTAGTTTAGTGCACTGCAACTTGATGTTGTTATATTTAAACTCTTCAACAGAGGTGAGGAAGGCTCTGTTTGATTCAAATAATCTGTAAAACTGTATTGAGATTGTGTGAGCTGCTTCTTTATGTGCATATGGGTGTGCAATATGTATTGTCTATGATAATATCGTAATTATTATGGATTTGCCTGAAACCGAATACCTTATTTGAAAAGGCCCGGATAATGACTTCAAAACTAGGCCTGTCACGATAACAACTTTTTGTCGTGCGATATATTGCCCCAGAAATAATTGCGATAAACGATATTATTGTCATTTTAAAGACCATTTTATGCCACTGAATATATAATCATAATCATATATAATCATAATCAAATGACAACAAACTTTAAATTTTTAAGAATATTTAGACGCGCGATAAGTCGATATATTGATTTTTGCGACAGGCCTATTCAAAACGAATAACAAATAATTATGCCAAATAATATTCGGCTGAGGCTGACACAGTCACTCATCGTTTTTGCTGGATAACAGGTGATCTGGGGAAAACACGATATTATACATAACCTCTAAAATCACTATGCAATAATGAGTGTGTAAAGTGAATGAGTGTAGACACAAATGTAAAGAGCGGAAATCAAATAGCTGCATTACTGTTGCTTCTTCATGTGTCTCTCAGAAATCAGAACTTGGCAAGAGCAAATAAACTAAAATATTACATCATACAAATGTTCTACTATTTAATATGTATATTTAAATGATTTAAATCTTGTACGATATGATACACGAATGAATGAAATAAGCACAGCTAGATCGTAAATCAAACAGTCGCGTTCTGACTCTGCACGTCTCTCAGAAACCAAACCAGCTCTAACCTAATAATCAAAGAAATACATATACATATTCTCCTGCTTGCTATGTCTATTTAAATGTTTTAAACTTTGTACGATAGGCTACATATTTCTCTGTCTCACTCTCTCTCAGAGACAGCATTTATGCAGGTATATTCTTTATAGTTGTTCAGATTTGCATTCGTATGCATAGTAAAAAGTTTTTCCTTTTTATTTGTTTCAACCTCCATGTTCTCGAATCGGCTTTCCTTTCTAGGTTGTCCTGACATTATTCAGTACACATAGTTATATTTATTCCTCTTACTTTACTTTTATTTACATTTATTTTAATTAGAACATTTTAACCAGAATAACCACATTAACGCAGTTAAAGCCAAAAGTATACTTTGGCCATCTGTGGACGTTACGTTCATGCTCTCACTGTTCATGTACAGCCAAATTTTTGTGTCAGGACAGTGCACATACAACCGAGCATGTGCAAGGTGAATGTTGAGACAGAAAAGTCCACTAGGTGGCTGTAGTCAAAAAAAAAGAGTGTGCAAAATGTGATACAAAACAACATGCTGAAACAGAAGACTACACACTACAATGGACGGTGAACTTGATGTGCATTTGTGTGAGGAGATCAGACAGTATCCACATTTATACAATTCACGTATGAAAGAGTACAATGATATGTTCAGGTTGGCAAATTCAGGGAGAGAAATTAGCAAAAGTATTAGAAAAGGGCTGTTTTCTTCCTAATCTGCTTGTAGTTCATTTAGGGAGTCGGTGTTGCAAACACTTCAAGGATGTGGAATGGGTAACCAACCCCTCCACCCCTGCTGCAGTCTTTCCTGCTTCAAGCCAGTCTTCCCTGGACATCAACTGTTTTGTTCACAGTAGTCACTGAGAGATCATATGAACTATATGTGAGAACAAGTATGTCCTTCTGCTGGACATTTCTGTCTGACGCACCTCCAACGGTGCCACTGTGCTGGCTGCAAGGTCGTCAGCTGAGAACCGCCCTTCACTGAACAGAATAAATCAAATTATCAAATAGTCTAAAAATGCATATCTTGAATACTGGGATCAAGAAACTAAAGCACAGAGTAAATTACAATTCCATCATCGTACATTTTTTTTCTGCTAAACTGTAAGAGATTTCAGTGGCTCAGTAGCTATCATTAGGGCACTTGTTCGCTTGATTGAGATAGGTATCGAGCTTCCTTTGTTTTTGTTTTTTTTTCTCGTTTTGCTATGGTCTAAGAATTATGTCGACTCTGATTATGTCGACTATACTTGCATTACAGCAGTATAGGCTTAGTATTACATTGCATTATTTTTTGTTTAATATTTTATTTTAGTATTCAAATATTATTTATTTAATTAATTGATTATTATTATTTTTATTTTTTTCTGAATATGAAAAATTTACTGCAGTCTGAACATTGGTGAGTGTTGACTGTTTGTGTTTGTAGATTATCTGGTTGTATGGTGACAGAGGAAGGCTGTTGTTTTCTGGCTTCAGCTCTGAGTTCAAACCCCTCACACCTGAGAGAGATGGATCTGAGCTACAATCACCCAGGACAATCATTAGTCAAGCTGCTCTCTGATCCAAACTACAGACTGGATAAACTCAAGTATGTTCAACACTAACAATCATCCTGTCATGTGTGTTTGATGTTTGAGCTCATGACACTGAATAAAGCCGAGCAGTTCAGTGCAGCTGAACAGCAAGAGATTTCTGCAGTTAGTAGATGAAAATCAGTTATTGATTAAAATACTTGAATTAATGAAAAAATATAGACACACAAATGATCAGTGAACGTAAAGGTGAGTTTGAGGATCTTATCAAATGATAGAGACTGTAAAGTAGGAACTACATAAAATGCTGGAGGACAGACAGAGAATCTCAAAGGATCTTCATCAGAGGATATAAATTACAGGTCTTCTGAAGTTGCATGATAATTTTGTGTGATGAACAGGCCAAAATTAAGTCAATATTTACATTTATTTATATGTAAATGTTTACAGTACCTACTGCATATATTTCATGTTTGCAATTTTAACAAAATAATAATAATAATTTTGCAAGTTAATGACAAGCCTCACACGAGTGTCCTTCAATTAAATACCCAATTTATGTAAAATCTTGATTATTAAATTATTAATATTCATCTATTGAGTGTGACAATCGTTTGTTTTTATAGTGTTGATCATGGAGGAGAGTTCAGGATTACAACAGGACTAAAGAAATGTAGGTCATGCACACACACACACACACACTTTGTAATAATGGCTGGTTAAAAACAACCCAATTGGCAATCAAGCGCTGGGTAAATATTGAACAGAACACAAGCTGGGTTAAAGTAACTCACACTGCACACTTTAAAGCAATGTCAGCTCTTTTTGACTAAAAGCTGGGCTAATTTTACCTCATAAATGTTTCATATTTCTATTTTTTCTTCCAGCACCTTAATCATTATTTTATTACGTGTAAATGTTGTAATCTCTCTATCTTGTGTTCAGATGCATGTGATTTCACACTGGATTTAAACACTGTGAACACTCACCTTGCTCTTTCTGAGAAGAACAGAAAGATGACTTATGTAGAAGACAAGCAGCCGTATCCTGATCATCCAAAGAGATTTGAGTGTCCTCAGGTTCTGTGTAGAGAGAGTCTGACTGGTCGCTGTTACTGGGAGGCTGAATGGAGCGGGAGAGGGGTTTATTTATCAGTGGCATATAAAGGAATCAGGAGGAAAGGATGCCGTAATAACTGTTGGTTTGGATACAATGAAAAGTCCTGGAGTCTGGACTATTTTGAAAACAAATTCACTGCCAGACACAATAATGAAATCATAGTCATATCTACCCATTTGCGTCGCTCTAACAGAGTAGGAGTGTATCTGGACTGGTCGGCCGGCCGTCTGTCCTTCTACAGCATCTCTGACACACACACACTCACACACCTACACACATTCAACACAACATTCACTGAACCCCTCTACGCTGGATTTATGCTTGTTTTGAGATCCTCAGTGTCTCTGTGTGAGATTAAACATCTTCCTGTGAGACAATATTGAGACATATAGTTGAGAAATACTGACTGTTCAAAAGATGTGGATCAAAATCATGTCAGACTTTGTCTTTGTGGGACTCTTTGTGGGAATCTCTCAGAGTTGTAGAGCTTGAATACATTCAATGATCAGCTTGTGCTTTGACCTCAGCATTATTATTTGGGACCTATCCTGCCCCTTTTTACAACATGTAATATAAGTCTCAGGTGTCCCCAGAATGTGTCTGTGAAGTTTCAGCTCAAAATACCCTACAGATCATTTATTATACCATTTTGAAAATGCCCTATTTGAGTGGAAGCAAAAACATGTTGTTTTTGTGCATGTATCTTTAAATGCAAATGAGCTGCTGCTCCCTGCCCCCTTTTCCAGAAAAGGGCTGTGCCTTTACAGCTCGTGCCTCAGATACTCTGCCAAATTTTTTTTTTATTGTGACACAGAATAATGTACGCAGTTTGCATTCAGCAGATATTCTCCAAAATGGCGCTACGGTGATGCGGAGAGACACAGAGGAGACGAATTGTTGAATAAAGTTGTTATTTTTGTTTTCTTCGCGTACAAAAAGTATTCTCGTCGCTTTATAACATTACGGGTGAACCACTGATGGCAGATGGACTATTCTGACGATATCTTTCATACTTTTCTGGACCTTGACAGTATAATTTACTTGGCAGTCAATGGGACAGTCACAAGCCTCCCGGTTTTCATCCAAAATATCTTAAATTGTGTTCCGAAGACGAACGCTCAGGTGTCCCCAGAATGTGTCTGTGAAGTTTCAGCTCAAAATACCCTACAGATCATTTATTATACCATTTTGAAAATGCCCTATTTGAGTGGAAGCAAAAACATGTTGTTTTTGTGCATGTATCTTTAAATGCAAATGAGCTGCTGCTCCCTGCCCCCTTTTCCAGAAAAGGGCTGTGCCTTTACAGCTCGTGCCTCAGATACTCTGCCAAAACAAAACATTTATCAGGATGAAAATGTTTGATTTGTATGCGTTTTAAAGCCATATCAGTTTAAACTTCTGATATACGGTTTTCTGAGCGCACACCAAGCGGCAACTTTCCGGTCTCTCTCTTGAAACCAACACGGAAGTGACTTAAAGGGTTACTCCACCCCAAAATGAAAATTTTGTCATTAATCATTTTCTTTTTGGGGTGGAGTAACCCTTTAAACTGCAATTCATCGACTGGCCGCTAGAGACTGGCTCCAAAAGAGAGTCAGTCCCATAGACTCCCCATGTTAAAATGCCCAACTTTACAGCAGAAAAAAATTTGTTTACAGCCTGGCACAAAAAGTGGTTTTGATCTATATAGCTAATTTTGCCCTTCATGACAACTGTGAGGGGGGTGAATT